TAGAGAAAATAACGATCCAAGTTTCGGATTCCTGCATTAGGGTTTATTACACGCGATGTCTGGGTTATATTAAACTCCTGGAAATCAGGGTTTATAATGGAACGGCTCACATGCCCTTAACTTTAATAGCCTTTCCAAGTACTGCAATAGTGAGCATTACTTTTTAATGTCATAAAATGATGGTTAAAACACTACAGAATTTTCTCAAGACAGATAAGCAGGTGTTCAAGAGAGCAGAACTATTTAAACTTTATTGATTTATAGTCTATCTTATATTGAAAGCCAAAAGTTTTATTGAATTCCCACAGCAGATACTCTGAACTTAATTTTCTAAAACAGTAGGACTATTTCAGGCCTCCCATATATATTAATTTCTTCATTTTTAACACTGTGCTTCTGTATTTTTCAAGTTACTAGGCATAATGAAATAGAAGCCACAGCCAAAAGTTTAAGTTATTCTATGTTTTCTTTTTATTGGTTGACTTTTCAAAGTACACTGTGTGTAATAAAACCCAATGCATAGCTACTAAATCGTATAATCTAGGAACACAAGCCCCTACCCGATCGTTTAAGCTGCACAGTATTTCTGTCACCCTTTAGAACGGTGAATATGACATAACTTCTTATTTAGTGTGAAAGAATGTCAAAGCATTTATCATCACTGCTTCCCTCCTAGTTGCTCTTTCAACCCGCCCCTAACCCAGTATCTCCCATCTTTATGCTGCCTGATGGAACGTAAAGCGGCTTTTAGAAGAGCCCCAGTAAACTATCAAACATTTTCTATGATTTGTTAGCATTTTCTGTTGGTTTACATAAAAATCAATACTCTTATAACTGTAGGACCCAACTCTAGTGATTTAGTGAAACTGATATTTACTATGGAATAAAATAGAAATACCATTAGCTCTCAAAACCAAATAACATTAGAGAAAGCTAGAAGCAAAATAATTACTATTATTTAGATATGTGGATACCCAAGCATCTGATATCCCAACTTATCTTTCATACTGACTGTAATAGCAGTAAATCCTTCCTGGGAGAGGAACTGTTGGACGGTGAGTCAGGCAGTAGATGAACAGACTCACGGTTTATAACGCAGTAACTCCTTTGCTTCCCCCTCTAAGTTCCCAGGCTCTGAAAACAAAAAACAGGAAATCAAACAGTGTTAGAACCACACCAAGAATAAAATGGCAACACATGATCAAAAAATGTAAAACTTAGCCAGTAGCAGTTCAGGGAAACTTAGAGCCCACTCGGCTCACTCAACCTATCTATGTAACTTCTTCTCTTATGAACAGCTTTATTACAATCCAAGAACATTACCAAAGATATGTCTTTTTAAAAATAGGTATCAATATATAGCTGTTTTAAAATGATAGGTTCAATGCCAGGAAGTATTCTAATACTCTTTCAACAAAATCATTTATGTGATTTAGCCAAAACTGGTCTGCTTCACTGAAATTTCTCATGGCTCGTTCAATTCCAAATACCAAACAATGGGATTAAAGGGAAGCCTCCATTTTTTAATAAATCAGAGATGCACTGAATAGTGTAAGTTTCTTCTTGGTCGAATCTGTGAAATATATAAATTGTTAACTTATACACAGTATTATTTTCTTTGTTTATAAGACTGTATCTCTGGTTTGTTCAAAAACATTATTCAACCAAGAGTATAATCAAACTGAACTTCCCTCCCATAAAAATAATTGGTTATTTGAACAAATTCACCTGCACTTACTTCTCATCTGCTTTATCAAGTTGAAGGTATTCTTATGGAGCAGTGAGATGATTACAGGTAAGAGAAGCTGTATAATGAAAAAGAATATGAAAAAGAATGCATGTGTGTATGTGAACATATATATACACACATATATATATGTATGACTGAATCATTGTGCTGTACACCACAAACTAACACAACATTGCAAATCAACTATACTTCACTTTAAAAAAAGAGACAGAAGCTGGAATTCTTTTTTTTTTTAATTGAAGTATAGTCAGTTTACAATGTTGTGTCAATTTCTGGTGTGCAGCATAATAGTTCAGTCATACATATATATGCATATATTCATTTTCATATTTTTCTTATTATAGGTTACTATAAGATATTGAATATAGTTCCCTGTGCTATACAGTATAAGCTTGTTGTTTATCTATTTCATATATAGTAGTTAGTATCTGCAAATCTCGAACTGAGAAGCTAGAATTCTAACTTTCCTTTGTTACTAGAAAACTCTGCAAGGGGGCCAGCATCACTTTGCCATGTAACAACATTCATTGTGACCTTACTTGAGTTACAACATTTTCCCTCTTAACATCCCTCTCTTCTACAGGCAATTTCCATATTCAAATTTCCTAAAATAATCCTACAGGTTCCAAATGGTGCTTGGACACTTTTTGACAACATAGAGTTTTCGAACTTAGTGAGCTTTTAACATGCCTTTCCTCTGAAGTGAAATTTCAGACTTTGATCATATGAAGTCTATTATTTCTTTAACTTTAATGTGGAGTTATTAAGGATGGGAGAAGTGTTAGCTTACATTTTTGTTTTGAAAATACATATGAGAAAATAATAAATAGCCACATTTGGAATTTTTTTGATTTGAAGAAGTCAGGTAATTATGTAAAAACTCTAAAATTAAATACTGAAATTATAATTATATGCATTTGCTTTTAAAGTTTCTAATTATAATGTCCCAGCTGATCTGTATTAATTAAAGTAAATTTTAATAGCAAGTATGCAATAAGGATGACTTTTTTCTTTGGTATCTTTGCCTAATATTTCCAAGATAGATAGCAGCATAAATAGCAAGAAATATAGATCTAGAAATGTTATTATTAACTGTGGCTGTCATTTGAATCAATTGGCTGAGAAAGACCATGGTATTCCTCTAAAAGAGACAAACACTTTTTCTTAGGAAACTATCTTAACAGCCTGTTAGTGTCTGAAATACGGGCCAACTATGCAGATGGAAGAATTTTAGAAAAGGAAGACTAAGTTACTCTGTGTGACGAAGTAGTGAGCATTTGGAGTTACCCATCAGCGGAAACTGGAAGAAGTGTCAAGGAGGAGGGAACCCCACAACATGGCTGAGAGACAGGTTACACAACGGGGCATGGTTGTGCAGGAATTGTAGACAAATTTCCAAGAAGAATGTTACAATTAATAGACTCTGCTTTTCTATGTAGAATGGCCTCTCAACTATCCCCTAAACCTTTAGCTAAAACCTATTTTAAGTAGAGACATGGGAAAGCGAGCTGAGACCCAAGGAGGAGCTGAAGTGATAAATCCAGGAGAGTGGAAAAGGCCATGGAGCAAAGCAACCGAAGACCAGATGGTAGACAATCTCCACATGGACAACAGGAAGTTGATTCCTGCAAGGGTGCATGAAGGGGAGGGAGAGGATACATCCTGCCATCCAGAGCTAAGGTCCATTAACATAGCAGACTTAAGTGATGTTGGGGAGAAGGTCCCAACAAGAACCTACACTATGCCTCTCTCTGGAGGTGAGAAATGGAGCTGGCGGTGGGGGGTGGGGGGGGCAGTGTCTGCAAAACTGGGAATATAGGCATAAAGAAATCAGTCTGATGATCTAGTGTGCCTTTGACCTCTTGTCAGTCTATAAACATGCTCACATCTATACTGTCTTAACACGTATACACACACACACACCACACAATGAACAGTCTATCTGGACATTAATCACCTTATTGTTTTGCTCCTTCTCATCACAGTTCTGTATTTTAGAAGAGTTATCTACAAAAGTGATCTTCCACTTCCTCACCTCACGTCCTCTTTTTAATCCATGCCAGTCAGCTTCCATTATTGTTGCTTCCCCAAAATTGATTTCAGTAAGTTCACAAAATGACCACTTTTGATTTCTACAGTCAGTATCCAGTATCCACCATTTAGTCAGTCTATTTTCAAATAAAGACAGAGACTTTAACAATTAATTTTGAAAATGAAAGAGTTACTGCTCAGTGGTTCCAATTAAAGAGTAAAGGCAATTTCATATTTCATAGTAGGTTTCTTCTTGTAAAAACAAACAGGTGCTTTTTCATCCTTATCCTACTTGCCTTCTCTGCTGCATTTGACACTCATGAGCCCGCTATCCTGTTTTCAAACTCTTTCTTCAACTTCCTCTTATAACTTTGGCTTCTTCTTTTCAAATTCCTAAGCCCCTCTTCCACTGTGCAGTTCTTAAATAATGGTATCAGAGTAAGAGAGAGCAAAATGCATTCCAAGGCCTGCAAGAGTCTTGGTGTGACAAGGTTACAGAAGGTGAGACAGGGCATAGTGAAAGATCAACTGGATGGGTGACCAGTGGTCAGAGTATAAAGGGTTTTACAAACTAGAGAAAGATGCTCAGTTTTAACCCTCTGATCAGTGGGCAGTCATTGAAATGGGCGATGATCAGTTTGGAATGATCTAATGAGATTTTTCATCTTAGAAGGTCACTCTGGAGAAACAACTGAGTATATAAAGACTGGGAGGAGGAAGACCAGGTAAAGAGATGTTGTGATCATTCAAGTGCGTAATTATAGTGGTCAGGATGTACACAAGTCCTATGGGAAGTGGAGATAAAAGAAGTAGACAGGTTCAAGAGATATTCCAGAAGCTGAATTGACAGAACTGGATGGCTAATTGAATTGAGTTATGAAGAGTTGAGAATGAAACCCAGGCTGGGATCATCAAGTTGGTGGTCAGGCCACTTTAACACATGTGGGAGGGGGAAGAAGAGGAGGGGCCTGGGAGAGGTGGGCTGATGACTAATTAAGTCTGGGCATGTTAAATTTAAGGTTCCTTCACCCAAGTGGAAATGTCCAGTAAGCAACTGGATATATGCATCAAAATCTCAGCAGAGAGATTTAGACTGAAGTATAATTTTGGAAATCATGAGTGTATAGAAAATAATTGGAGACGTGAGTTTCATCATAGAGTTTCTCTCCATTTACCTCCTTCACATCAGACTGTAAGAACATAACCATGGATGGGGAGGGAGGGTATAGCTCAGTGGTTGAGCATGTGCTTAGGATGCAAGAGGTCCTGGGTTCAAACCCCAGTGCCTCCATTAAGATAAATAAATAAATAAACCTAATTACCCCCCTCAAAAAAAGAGCACCAAAAACCAAATTTTTTTTTTAAAAGAGCATAACCATGGACTGAATGAACGGTTGGACTGAAGACTCTAACCCTTGATGCAGAATGAATAAAAGGGACCCATCTGGAGGTCCAGAAGCTAAATCTAGGCTTTTTGATATCCTACACAGATCTATAAACATTAAAAGAGAGAAGGGCCAGGATGAACAAACAGAACAAGTGACCTCAGAATGACCAAAGACAATTCACAGTACAAAAAAATTGTTTAAAAACTCTCACTGCTAACAGCAGGGATTTCAGAGAATATTATATCCATTACAAATAAAGTAAAAGCCAAAGCTGGTATGATAGGAACTATCAGAGAACAAGAAAATATTCCTTAAAATGAAAAATATTAGTATTAAAATTTAAAATTTGATAGAAATTTTAGAAGAAAAATTCAAGTAAATGTCCCATGATGTAGAGTAAAAAGGCAAAAAAGGGACATATGAGAAAAAGCAGTTGGGAGTCACAGACAGGATCAATTCAGGAGATCCAAAATCCACTTAGCTACTCAGAGTGCCTTCAGATGCTTAAAGCAGCATCTTTATTTCCTTGTGGATAGATAATCCGATGATCCTCCTCATGCATCCCCACCTGATCAGTTGCAGAAATCTATATTTTAGTCCAAATCAGTAAATTCAATCCAGTGCAATCATTTTTAATCTCCTTTAGAAAAACTCCACCCTTTCTATTTCCTCTCCTTTCCTCTGCTCCTCCAAGATGGCAGGAAGTCTAGGGAAAGAAAAGTGTGTCATTTGTACTTCAAGGCAACGTGATGGAGGACAAAACAGAGTCCTTAGATCCACGAGCGTTCTCCAGACTCTTGCTCATCACTGCTACAGAGGACCTGGAATGGGAGATCCCAGGACTCCTGGTTGCTATAGTTCACCTCTTTCTGTCTCTGGCTGTTCTAGAATGTGCTACCGTTGTCTGTGCCAGGTCCCTTTCAGCTGAGTGAGGTCCAGCCTGCTGGTGCTCCCTGGCTAGGGTGGCTTCACCTCAGTTCTTAAAAGGACGGGGAACTCTCTGAGCCTCTCCTTTGTGGCCCTTCTTTGTGCCCACCTGGACCCAGGCCATCACAGCTTCTGAACACTGTGTCTTCCACTGCTGGGGCACCTTGCCCCTTGTCACTGCAGGACAGAGCCCACTGACTTTCAGTTCAACCAGCTCCCATATCTCTTCTAGGAACTCAGGATTGTTCAGAAAATTAACTCTGGCTCCTCCTTCCTAACTAAGCTGGGCCACTGAATATACTTTGGTGTTGCCAACACCCATACTGGCTCACTAGCCTTATGGGACACCATCTTCTACTGCCCCAATCAAGGAACAAGCATTCCCCTCCACCTACTTAGGATGCTCTCCCCCAGCAGTGAGAAACCCAGAGAGTGCAGAGCATCTCCTACTTCAGTCTCCTGTATCCAGCAACTACCCAACAGGAACAGGAGGATCAGGTCTGGAACATACACTCTCTCTACTCCGATCCTCCTTTGCCCTACTTTAGGCATATAATTTTCCACCGTCTAATTCACCAAATGGGACTTTTGATGTATTAGCGCATAGGGAAAGCAATTTGGAAAGTTTCTATTGCTCTCAGAGATCTCTACATTTCAAGTCTGCCACTTTGCTTTGGCCACAAGCATCCCTGTAGGTATCAGAAGCTGAATATAGACTCTTTTTTGCCTCTTTGCATTTCTACAGTAAAAAGTCTAATCCTATTCTCCAAGGCAAATTGATGCCTCAAGATAACCAGAGAAAAGGCCATGTTCACAGAGTGTCAGAAGGAGAGAGTATTAATATATTTCAGATTATAACCCCTTCTTGCACTAATATACTCTCTTGAGACTAACGTATTTTCCTGAGCTTTGATGGCTAGCTCGGGGAGTTTGGCTGTGGGAGCAGAAAGAAATGGGGAACTCCACAGCTGGAATTTTTCTTGTGCCTCAAAATATGCATTGTCTTAACACGTTAATTAAGACGTTTGTACCGTAGGGAATTAGGAAAATACCTCTGCTCGTACTTGAGCAAAGAGGATCTCTTTGCTCAACAGTGTCACTTCTTTCAGACCAGAATGACACTGACAGCAGTAGCTACTGGCAAACCACCTCTGTGCTTAGTGGAATAGTGATTTCCCAAGAGATACCGAATCCAGGGGAGGCGGTGTGATGGCATCATGAGTGGACCCAAGCAAAGACCCAGGGAGCCACTTCTTGAGCACATATCAAGTCATATCTCGGCCTCATGAGCATCTAAGGGCCAAAACTCAGGTAAGTGCTTCGGACATTCAGGCTGATCAGAGTTGGTGCTTCTGTAGTTGGAGTTACATCCTACTCTTCCTCCTAGAGATCTCCTGAAGCCCTCGACTTCTTATCTCCTCTGTCCTTATCATCATTCAAGCCTTTATAATTTCTCACTTTCATCAACAGAATTTTTGCCATTTCACACCTTGCCCTCAGCTCTATACCTGCTACCCTCGATAAATGTTTATTACAATGAATGAGTACATGGATGAATGTTTACTGATTTTGATTCACTAAAAGCTATTTGGCCTCCTCCATGCTCATAACCTTTCTGGGTATTCGATAAAGAAAAGCAACTATCGTTATAAACCATTTCTTCAATTTGTTTCCCTGGTACAAAGGGAAATTTCTTCTTAATTGATAAGACAAATTTTTTTAAATCATGTTAAAATATTTCTGACCTATACACACATTAAAGTATTTACTTAAGTACATAGATATTTCTATACTCTTAATCATTAGCTCCCCAAAATAAATTGCTTGATCACGGCTTGGATGGATATAATTTGGTGTTATTTTTCTGAGGGTAAATGGCAAAAATATCATTATGGAAAATTTTTGCAGTATTATCCAGAACATCAGTTTTACCAGACAGTATGAACATTATGATAAAACACAGATTTATGTATTATATATCTAATTTTATGCTCCAAATAAAATAAAAATAATTTTAATAAATAAATAAATAAATAAATAGCTTGATCAATTAATATAGAATTCAAAAAAAGCAAAAAATATATTCTCCTGATTTTTAAATGTTGAGATGAATAAGACAGCGGATCCTGGAGAATTGTAGGTAGGATATATAGGCTGCTATCTTCTTTTGAAATAAAACTATCCTTAAGCCCTTGCTGAAGAGTAATGTTTTACAGGAACAGAAAGGAAATACTTTGTAAGAGAACTAGAAATAATTCAGTAGACTTCTGAATAAAAATATACTTTAAAAATGGCTTAGAAATTATGGTTCAACTGTATCCTGCCCCTCCCTGCAGCCACACACATCACACAAGCAATCTCTCTCTCTCTCCCTTGCTCTCACTCTCTCTGTAACTCTTTGAGGTTCATAATTTGAAACCTGAAATTTCTCTGTGACCCTGAAAAAGAATTCTTGCATAACCGAGGAGGAGGGTGTATTTGGGGAGTTAAGATTGTTAGTAATATTATAGGATGAAACATAGAGTGGTGCTTTCAAAGCTTAATCAGGGTCCAATATTAGTCACCAGACTTCCTGGCAAATTATCAAATCTTTAAGGAGTCCTGATTCCAGGACAGAAATATGACCTTACTCAATCATTATTCACAGAAAAAGGAGAAGCAGATGCTTTAAACCACACTGACAAAAAAGTTTTTCCGTACTCTATTTAGTCTCAAAACAGTACTTGGCCAAGTTTTTTTTTTTTAAATCAGCTAGTATGATAGTTCTTATTTTTACAGACCACTCTAATCATCTTTTTTGCCAGCATGGGGATTAATGACTGTGTGTGATGTTTAATAGCTATCCCAAACAGGAATGCTGGCAGTAAGTTCAGAGCAATTTAGATCCTTGAAATCTCTGACTTATAAAAGCATCACTTCATCCAACTCTGACATCATCAATAAGACTATTCTTTTTATCAGTGAAATCAGTTAGTTCCTTCCAATCTCTGCCCTCCCAAGTTCTGCATAAAGTATTATTTAAAATGTGTAAATTATTACCACGGGACTTAATGAACAAATAATCAGAAGGATAACAATCAGGCTCCTATGCTCTGCCATGGCCGTGAACCGGGCATTAATTTTGAATTAATAATCGTGTCTTTTCACCTTCTTTGAACAGCTTCATGTGAAGCTGCCTCCTCTTCAAAGAGGAATATGCAGTTCAGACAATGACATTTGCTCATCGATATGTGGGTTTAATTTAAAAAAAAGAAAGAATCTGAGCCTTAAAATCTAACTAAATAAACTGAAGTGTAAAATGGAGTCCCTAAAAGTAGGAATACTAATTCCTGTTAAAATCTCCTATGTTGAAAATTTGAGCTGAATCAGGTACATTGTTGCAATTTCCTGAGCATTTGTCTTGAAAACTAATTAGAAAATCTGGAGATGGTACTTGGTATTCCTAACATGTTCCGGAAGCCTTTGTGTGAGTTCTTTCGATTCCAACCTCCCATTTGGAAGCAATCCAGAATCTAACAATCAGACAAGCTTGACTCACCAAGATTCACATTCTCAACGTATATCACTCAATGAGACTACGAGAATAATCACTTGGTATACGAGTGAGAGACAAAAAGTAAGAAAAGATATTCTATTGTGATGACATATAAAACAGCTCTCCATTCAGAGTACGTTCAGCTCTTCATAAAACAAACGTGTTGTTTCTTTGCTTTTGTACACAGATAGGTCTTTAAACATGCAAGAGAAACCACACAGAATAACTAACTGGAAATCAGTCATGTCAACATTAATGCTGTGCTTATTTCTAAACCACAGGCTGGAATTTAGCTAACCTAAACTATATGTAATGTTACTGTAACAGCCGGCAACGTGATTTAAAAAAAAAAAAAGGACTCCAAGAGTAATGAAAATGAAAATATAGCCCATGACATTGAGCTAAGTTTTGACGGACATTTTGGGTCAGCATAACATATGA